TTACAACCAAGCTTATCTACTACTTATAATGTTCCTGTGTTCAGATTAAGAATAGTAGTGATAGGAACTTTGTAGACCTGATAGTTCAACTATATATAGATAGGTTATCAGATCATTTCGATTTAGAGGCCTTAGATTGCCCGGCAACTGCGAGTTCGATATTTATAGGAATGCGATCCTGGCCTGCTCGTGCTGTTGCTTCCCCACAAGCTATCAGTATAAGCAAAATACCTAGCATTCAAGAAAAGAGCGTACTCTTTTCTCAAAGGCCGGCAACGCACTTGTGACTCCTGAGTTGAAAGATTTCATGGGCGACGGTAGTTACTTTCCATCAGGCAACCAGTCTACTCTTTTGCGTAGTCTTTTCGTTGCCCCCTCTTCAATAAAAAAAAAGAAAATAAAAAACCTTCCCTTCTTGCCGACGATGCTTGCTTCTTATCCTTTGCCTTTTAATTACTTCCAATATCTAACTCTCTTCGCTTCGGTCTGTACTGCAAGATAAGTTTTCTCCACCTACAATCAGAGCCTCCAGGACTCCGCTCTTAGCTTAAGTCTGTCCCATAAATGCATGTCTTCGAAAATCATAATTGCAATATTTTCACAAGTTCAATTATAAACTGTGATGGTGACCTGACTGTATAATTCCTCTTCATAATTTTCATTCTCAAATAACCTAGTTGACAGAATTTACTAGCCCCTATCACGTGTGCGTAACCAATTTCTGCATATTTCAATCCTTTCGCGTGTGTGTTTGGTCTTAAAATTACAAATTTCAAGTGGGCTTATTATAAGGAGTCTTATAACAAGCCAATCTAAAACAAAGTTAAGGAAAGCAGACGAAAAACGCTGGATTGTAATTATTTGTAAATAGATATAAAATAAATCTTACGGTGAACCAAAGTACGTGAGATTCTGAATACTATTGTATGAATGAGACCCAACAACAAGCGTGATGGAAATCCGATGGAGCTCAAAAAGTTAAAGCGCTTTTTATTCATCTTTTTGAGCTGCTAATAACTTTCTATGTTAAAGGATTTATTTACGTACTTCTTTGGAATAATTTGCTTACAACTATCCAATTAGCACAGTTACTTACTGTTTCTTAGCACCTCGACGATAATAAGTGCTTGTCTCTATCGTAAATGTATAGTCTATATGGACATATTGGACGTTGTATATATATATATATATATATATATATGTATGTAGGTGTATATATGTAAGGATACATTTTTGTGTGTACCTATTATTTAGGTATTATTATATTTTCAAAAATGCACCAACCACAGTTACATATAGCAATACGGAATGCAACAAACCTAAAAATATTATTTTGTGTGTGAAAAAAAGTTAATATACAAATGTTTTCGTTATTTTTTTGTTTATTTACCAATAACAACTACAGAAATGAATCATTAGAAATATGTTTTACAAAAACTGTAGACAGAAGTAATAAGTACGACAAGTGGCTGGCAGCGCGGCAGCAATGTCGCGCGACATCGGTCGCGCCTAGAGATGTGATGGTCTGGAATATTGTTAAACCGAGTTAAATCGGTTTGACAATTCGTGCGAATCAGTTCCAAACCGAACCGTTGAAATTGCAATAAACCGCGAATGTAACATACGAAAGCATTGTGTAACATGATTCGACGAGATCAATTTAACAGACGTTTCGTAAAACGTCTGTTAAATTGATCTCGTGTGACATGTAAACTTGGTTGCAAACCGTTGACAAACCGTAGTTTGTCAACGGTTTGCAACCAAGTTTACATACAAGTGTAAAACTTGATATTATCTACACTAACTGATGACCGATGCGGTGACGGTATGAATTGATTGGTAGTTTGTTGATAGCTAGAGGCAATACAACAAAATACCCAGTCAAGTAACGCGATTACCATGCCTTCGTTTTTCTCATTTGGTGGATATAAGAAAAATATAATTAGATCGGATCAGTTTATGTATTAAATTATTACTAAATGACGCGCGCTAACCATATCTGGTTTTGCGACTTCCAGCTACGATTACGATGATGAACGGCTACTTGCGACCGATCGATAGAAATTTACAATTTAGTTACCTATTTGGGATTAGTAATGAACATACTTATTGTATGGCTTCGTAAAGAAGAGTATTTAGAGCGGAAATGGTTTTAGTATCAGAACTTTATTGTTGGCAAATTCTGTTTTATGAATTCGTGCCATCAAAAGGCTGAATAAAAGGAGAAGATTTAAAGGTGCGTACGAAATTCATCTATTCAGTCACCTGAATCCATTATTATAATAAACCAAAAAAAAATGTGCAGTCGCAATCCACCTCTGGCAATTGTTCGCTGCAATTCTCGAGAACACTGGTACTCAATCGCAGGCTCGTTGCACTGAGCCGTTAAGTTCTATATGTTTTATCACGTCTCCTTGGATCGCCGGCTCCTTGCGGATATAGGAGGCAGGAGGGTGAGGTGTCTCCACTCAAAACCACCCGACGGCCATACTCAGGCGCCCTACGCCGAGGAGGACCCTGACCATGTTATGTCAGGTCCCCCCCAGATCGATGCCGTAGTAAAGTACTATCCCGGGGAAGCCACGTGCTTCCCCTCCTATCGTTCTATTCCAGCCCAGGCCGCCATCCTATCGCCTACCGCAGCAGTTAATCTGCCACCAGATGTCCCCATTTTCTGGCAGTGTGTGTCCCCATCCTCTACGCTCGGGATCGGGACGCTGCACGAGCCCTAGAATTGGCCCTTGTAGATTACTTTGGTATCTAAACTTTACTACTTAAACGTTACTACACGATAAATAACATCGGAGTATAAAAAAATTAAATGCAACCAACAAATCTTATAATTTAGAACATCTTAGTATTTAATTGTTGATGGTACTTAAACTTCAATTGAAAACACATTTTAAAAATAAAACGATTTTGTTTATTCTTGAAACATTTTCAACAACAACTGATTATAAACCCAAACTTATCTTACATAAATATCGTTTTTTGTTTTAATATTTTTGTTCGCGTAGTCTTATATCGCAAAACTGCTCAGCAGGAACTCTTGTATCTACTTCTAAAATTTGCAATGTTAGCTCTAATACCTGCTTCTAAACAGACCAGTACTGTTCCATGTCAAATAATTCATATCATAATGTGTTAAGAATACTTGTTTCAACGATTTCATTTTGCTCGTATTGTTCAGTTAGTCTGCATACATATAAAATATTATTATCTACATAAGATAACTGGTTATTTATCTTGCTTGCCTAGTCAAATTACTTTAGAAAAACCTCGATAAATTAAGACAAATTGGCACTATCACAAATATTATATTAATGATGTAAAACATAATATTATGTTCGTACAACTTTCAAGTTTTGTATACCCAATACGCGAAAGGATATTCAACATTTTACCAACTATAACCAAGTATTACTCACGTAACAGGTACTCTTGTTATCTATTGCCGACCACCGGGTAGTTTGGGAAGGAAAGGGATATTGCTTACACGGATCAATAGACGATTGTGACCAATAGATCGAGGCGTGCAGGATCGGATACATATAACAATAACTAGCTGTTATCGCAAATTCGTCAAACTCCTCCATTTCGCTAAGATTATACGCACATAAATTTTTCTTGTACCTACTATAAAATATCCCCCCGACTTACGATCACATTTTATATTTTTCATTCAATACAGTTATAAACAAGGTCCTGGAGTTCTGAACGGCCTCTTAACCAAGACGGATTTACGCGGACCTATATACACTGTCGTCCATGTTGAAAGCACCATAGTCAAATACATGCCTGTCCGCGCTTGCAGCCAACTACTTTCCTCCTTAACATCACAGATCATGGAAAGTCTCCGTAACACCATACAATAAAAGTTCCTTATTCGCGGGGGCTATATTCCATAAATGTGCAGCGGATATAGAAACCGTGAATATAGTCACTAAGTACCTGAATTTCTCTACTGATTGCAATTAATCATTTTGGGGAGTCTTAGCTATCACTTCGGTTTTACATACATTGATTTTAAGACCGAACAAGGCACGTTAGGACCAATCATCAATAATTGTAGAGAAGCTATCGAGTCCATCACAAAGTATAAATAATCTGCGTAGGTACATGATGTCCACACACCGATTTTAAACTAGCACAAGCTGATACAAAGTTGGACAAAAAACTTGAACACATTAAGACAAACGAACAATTCAACATCAAGATACCAGAAGGTACCAGACCTATCAAAAATCAATAGCAATGAAGAAACCGCTGAATTCACTAGAACGGATGCAGAAAACTAAAGTAACATACAAAACAAACATATCATACAAAACCTATGCAGTAACATAGATCTTTAACGAACTCTGACCTAAATTGAGGCACTTAATGTAATCGTAATAAATACAAGTTGCAATAAACATTAGATCATAAATAGTCGAAGCAGATGTAAGTTGTGAACAATAATAACCATAATAATACACATATACACATACTTAGAAAACTTACAAATATGTGGTATTAGGGATGAAGTACAGAAAGCCATTTTTTTTTGTAAATATTATTCTATTTTCTAATCTAAAGTATTACAGTAAAAATTTAGCGAACATTACACAAATATTTTTACACAACTATAAAAGCCAAGTATTTTGCATTCTATAAATAAATAAGTAACACTGCAATTATCTAAGATAAGACAGTTCGATAAAACAAAAATCAATTACATTTTCTTGTCACCCTTTCAAATGAAATAAGGGATTTTTTCACTTATTTAAAATACCTATTACTTTACATTTAACAATAGTTGTTTTGTAAATGTACCAAAACTAATTTAAAGAAACACTTAACTTTGAATGCCGATTTCACATAGGTGTAGTTCCCCATATCTTGCTTGGCCTCAACAATGACATCGTGACTTCGTCAACAACTCGTAATATTTAAAATAAGTTTGCGTCTACAACCGGTTAGTAGTGAATCAGTGTCCGGCGGAGGAACTGTTGTGCACAATGAAGCTAATTTTATGCTGTGAGTTATAAGTATTTATTCCACTATGTTTTCAAATTTATTAAATACTTAATAAAATATGAATGGCCCTTTACTGTCAACAATTCCGATTCATTTAAAATTTTTGTTCAAGTGTCGTAAATACATAAAAAGTGTTGTATTATTAAAGTAGATAACAACCTTTGCACTCAAAGCGATATCAAAGAGATATTTTAACTTTTGGTATAATTCAAAGACTCATTAAGGTCAAGTACACGTAATCTTTCTGTTTATAATATCAAAACTTAAACCCTATTTTCGAGATATAACTTCTGATATTACTGGGTAGATTTCGAATAAATAGATGTAAATACTATATAAATTTTTATTTACGTTTCTATATCAGACCTAAGTCAGACGGACAATGACGTCACTTAAGCATAATAGCAAAACCTTTGAGTTTTAAAGGTAGATTGGGATTTCCTAACATCGTATGTTAAACAGCCAAAGCATTATTGTTATCTACCGATTTTCCTCGTAGTTCTTTGTGTAATTATTAAAAAATGGTTGGGCTATTATATTACTTTATTCATACGTTGATACAAAGTATTAGTATTAATACGGCGTCGGTTAGGTATATGTCAAAAATTTTGGTTCATAACTGAAGTAAAACATTAGTTTGACACTTTGAGCATTAAAACTTATCAGAATCGTTTTATACTATTCAGTATTTATTTTCATCGGCTTGATATTTTGATTTGTGTACAGGTATTACTTCGTTTTGTTTTAAATATGCTTTCGAGATAAAAGTATTTGATGGTACATTTTAATTAACCTTATACCTACCCTAAACCTTTTAAGATACTTTAAAACATTTAATCTTTTTACTAACTTAATACCAATTAATGGTATTAAAACCAATTTCAAATACTAAGAAAATACTGTCCAAAATTTTAAGTAGTGATAACACAGTATTTCTAATTATTATAATGAAGTGGTGTTTCTAGAAAGATTTAGATAATTATTAAAAAATTTCATCAATCCTATAATTTTGGTAAGTTTATGTATCGCATTATCTCTACACAATACGATCCAATAGATGGTCACAGACGTGGTGCGATTCCATCTTTGAAAGTTAGTACTATACTAATAGACCGATTCCAAAGATGGAAGAGATAGTAATAACAAACTATAACAAATAATATGTACTAACAAACAACATCTACCGGAACCAATTTGAGATTATACGATCCTTCCTAAAAAAAACGCTAGTTAAAGGAACTAGATAATTTTAGATTGCACACTATAATACACTTATCTATACTAATATTATAAAGCTGAAGAGTTTGTTTGTTTGTTTGTTTGTTTGTTTGAACGCGCTAATCTCAGGAACTACTGGTCCGATTTGAAAAATTCTTTCAGTGTTAGATAGCCCATTTATCGAGGAAGGCTATAGGCTATATATCATCACGCTAAGGTCAATAGGAGCGGAGCACCAATGAAGAATGTTTCAAAAACGGAGAAAATTTATTACTATTGAGATACGCAGACGAAGTTGCGCGGGTCAGCTAGTTTCATATATTTATTTAAATATTACAATCATTTCAGTGTCTTTTTTATTTATATAGTATTTACGTACCTACATATCAATCTCCATTAATCATGTAATTTTATAGTACTTTTTAGGTAACTTGGATATTCAAACGTAATCACAATTATTAGTTTGAGGATTATAAAAGGTCATAACCTTTTATAATCCTCATCCTTAAATATATTTTGAATACAATTTCAATTTGTTATTTTGTTAATTTTTTTGTATTATAAGACCTTCACGCCTTAAATGCTCGATCAGTCATTACGTGATTTCGCTTAGACTTAATCTTAAGGTATTTATTTTATAATCCTCAATCAATCCATATTAAAATTAAACAACTGCACAATATTAAGACTTGACGGATCTAATGACGATTTTTTTTCTCATTTGGTATATTTATATATAAACTTTATAAAAAAATATAACGAGATTTTTTATGTTAACTAAGGAATGCTACAAAATAAATGAATATCTCTAAAAAATCAATATCCTAAATTCCCGACAAACAGGGAAGAGGAGGCAATGAATGAAGATATGAGGGAAGGAAAGCAAAATTAAAAACATTTAGTCACAAGCAAAAATATATTTATTTTACAAATAAATTTTCACTTATTTTAAAATACCCAAATATTCCTCAGTGGAATATAAAAACTAAGAAGTGGCCGATGCTAATTGCGCAATGTGCGAGTGCAGCACGCAGTGTAGCTTGCAGCTTTGTGCGAATAAAATGGAATTGTCATTTGGGATGCTCGTTTTGCGAAGTTTAGGTTATGACGACATTTTTTGAACCTTTCGAAACGGTCATAAAAGTTGGAAAATATCATTGGTAAATATTTTTTCCTGGAGTGGAGTATCCTATAAATACAGAAATCACTCACCGAATTTAACGATACTGATACTATTTAATTTTGAGTTTTGTAATTTTCATACGTTGTGAACATGTTGTGTGCGTGTGAACCACGCCAACTATTAATCCTTTGTGCTCAATTATTTTCAAAAATAATTATAACGCACTAAACTGCAATGACAATATGGCATAAATATTAATTTGTAACTCATATTTGCTTACATCAGCTAGACTCATCTTGTAAGTTGAATAGCAAATAGACAACAACATTGTTTATTCATTTTTATTGATCCAGTGAGCTAAAAAGTTCTTAATGGATTTACAACTTATCTAAACCTATATCTAATGAAAGATAAATATGTCATTAGATCCATTGCAAGTCTGACCAATAGATCTTTTGAATTAAAAATCTCCGTAGATCCTTTTCTTGAAATCAGGATCTAATGGGAAATAAAATCGTCCTAAGATCCACCATGTATCTGGTCAATGCATCTTCTAAGATTTTTAATAATTATTTTATGAATGTTCTTGGTGACTCATTCTTTCTCTTGTGTTTTTGAAGCGAAAATTTTAACATGCATGTATTTTTTCTCCAGTAACCACCCTTGTGGCAGCAGTCATGGCAGAATCAGAATTGGGAAAGGTGTTAAAGGCTGGAAATGACCAGTTTACAGCCAAAATGTTTCAGGTATGTGTCACTGTAAAGCAAACTTTAAAAAAGAATAGTACTGATACCCATTTATACCGGTTTTACACGGACACTGTTTAATTCATACCTTTCTCTAACGTAAAAATAAATTCTAGGAAGTGGTGAAGATTGAGAAAGGCAAAAGCAGTGTGCTATCAGCCTTTTCGGTCCTGACTCCCCTTGCGCAACTAGCTTTAGCCTCGGTTGGTGAATCACACGATGAACTCCTAAGAGTCATTGGCTTCCCAAACGATGACACGGTGCGTATAATAAAAAGAGTAATCACCTTTTACGAGTCGAAAAAAATATATGAAAATCCACTACTCTTCTAGGCAACAACTAAACGGAAATACATTATGGAATAATATTAGTGCTTTCTGTTAATCTGTATTGTTATTATTTCATTATACTCAACCTCATAGCTGACGATGTGGATATATTTTATTGTGCTCTGAGTGAATTCACAATGACAGCACTTAGTAAAATTTGCGGTTTCAGTTTTTAATTTAGAATTGATGTAACTACAATAGCGCAGTAGAATAATTCTGTCAAGATATTGTAAGAAAATAAATGCACAATAAATTAATTATAGTAGCACACATCACATCAACAGCCTTTCATAATCCACTGCTGGACATAGGCTTCTGGCTTACAATACCACGCTGGCCAGACGGCTTGCTATAAGGTTTGTTTCAAGTTTTTCTTCTATTTGCAGTGCTGTTGTCCTATTATATTGTTGGTATTTTTTTATGACAAAGGATGTTAAATATCTGAGTACCTATATTAAATATATCTAGTAGTCCTAATTGAATATAATCTTATACACTTGGGTATAAACATACCACTAATAAATAAACACCCATTTGCTTGACACATTGTCAGTCAACCAACAGGTACTCTGATCTATTCTTGGGTATTGTTTGTATTCCCTAAAAAAAGTATGTAATTAACAAAAATATTTATAATATTTTAAACACTGTCAGGTTGAGGCACTTTAACGTTAACGTTCTGTTTAATTATTAAGTTTGCAGGTAAAATATACATAGAAAAAAAAACCATATATTTAAGGCTGATCGCATTATTAGTAAAAAATATGTGATGCATAAGTAACAAGTAATGGACAATATACTCACTTTTGTAAGAAGTAAATTTAAATAAGTCTTCATCATTCACAGACCAAGGAAGTATTTACAGAGGTAAACAATCGACTGAAAAATGTAAAGGGGGTTGAATTGAAACAAGCCAATAAACTATACATTGCAGAAAATGTGGCCCTAAATGATAATTTTGCTGCTGTCTCAAAATCTGTGTTTGATTCAGAATTTAAGAATATTAAGTTCTCCGATAGTGTAGCGGCTGCTAATGAAATCAACGCTTGGGTAACTATTATACTAAATATTATTTGATTCACTTATTATCTTAAGTAGATTCTCAATCAAAACAATAAATTGTTTTTGCAGGTTGAAGACCACACAAATAAACGTATTAAAAACTTGGTGGATGAAAATTCTATTACTCCAAATACTGTGGCTGTTCTCGTCAACGCTATTTACTTCAAGGTGAGATGTTATTTTAAATTAAGAGCTATATACAATATAAACAAAGTCTGGCCGTAAACACTGTTACAAAAAAATAAAACATAATATTACATTTGAATTCGAAATCTGTCATTCTCTCATGAATATTCATTGTGTTTTCTCATTTTGGATTCACAATGGAGTGGGGTGATAAAGAAAACCGAATTGCTGTGACAGGATTACAGAAAGTTGGTACGGAGTCAAATGCAACGTTTGATACTCCATCCGCTTGGTATTACTCGAATGTTTAATGTTATAAATAGAAGCAAAGTGTCACTCAAGCAATATGAATTGTTTTTAAATGGCTTTTAATGTTATTTAATTACTTAAATTATTTTATTAGTGTAAAGGGAGAAGAAAAATTGATAATATCCCATTATAGGAGGTTTACATTTTTTTTTTCTATTTTAAAATAGTTTTGGGACAGTCGTAGGGCTATACATATTAGGTCTTGGCTGTACCTATGAAGTTGGAGATCTGTGTGAAAATCTTAAAATATAAAATTTTTGGTTATTTTTATATTTTAGCTAATTTAAAATTATCTATACAATTTCGCCATTTTGATAGCAGTTTGTCCATTTACTGTTGAAATCTGCTGGACGAGAGGCATTGAAGTTAGCAAAAGCATTTTGTACTGCCTCTCGGATGTTTAAATTATTCCCACTTAAATATTTGTCCAAATTAAAAAAAAAAGTAGAAATCTGTTTTCAAGGTCCGGTGAGTACGGTTGGTGACGGAGAGCTGTAACTCGTGTAGCTTTGCGATGGTCTGTCGTGAAGTGTGAGCTTGCGCGTTGTCGTGGAGAAGCAATTTGGAAGAGCGAATGACCAGTCGTGGTTGTTAAATTTCAAACTTCTCCATCATTGTTTTCAATTCTTGGCAATAGACATCTGCCGTCATTGTTGTGTCATTCGGTAAGAAGCTGTGATAGACAAGTCCAGCACTGATTTGCCAGACAGTCATTATCATCTTCCTATGGGTATTCTTTTTTTTAGTAGCGTATTGATTAGGTACTATACCCGGGTCCACCGACTGAGACAAACGTCTACGGTTGTCATATAGGATAGACTTTTCATTGCAGGCAACAATTCGATGCAGAATTATCTCGTTTCTATACCGATTCAGTAGTGCTATATTATTATATAGATATTCGACGCTTAAGTCTCGCTGATGATCGCTTAGATCATATGGCACCTACTTGTCTAGCATTTTTATCTTTCCGATTTGACGCAAGTAGTAATAGTAATAGTCTTTATTTTATTCTCTCACACAGTACGAGTATACATTATTAAAAAAGAAAAAAGTGAAGCGATACAAAATAAAATTTACAGTTTTATTCAGCAAATCTGTGTGGAAGACTGGTATCTGTACTAGGAGACCTGTATGACAGATTATCAGACTCTGGATAGGTGAAGTGCTATTTAATGGAGGTACATTATTTATCACCAAGAACAGGTTGAGAGAGGGGAGGATTAGAATAGGGTGAGTTGGTGTGAATTTGTGTGGAGTAGTGTGGTCACACCACACTACTCCACACAAATTCACGTGTGTGTTCACAAGTGTGTCGTGATTTGGTGAGTGATGTGGTGTGAATGGTTGGTAAGGTGTTCTGTGTGGTGAGTGAAATGCACTAAATGATCTAAGAGGGAACAGTGAGTAGTTTTTCAGTTTCTTTATATGTTAGAGTTTTTAGTGACAGAGTGATAAGCCGTTTACAATGAAGCCTTGTGAGTGGATATAGCGAAACAAGTTTGTTCAACTTGTTATAGAGATAACCCCCCAGAAAGCCAAAGAATTTACGGGAAAAGACTGTAAACCTTCGATTCTCTAACCTGCAATAAACGTTATGTTTGAGGCGTTTTTCTGTAAGTGCTAGGTCATAGATGAGACTCGAATGCTGTTTAAGTGTGGTGTGGAGCACAAATAGTTGGCGCACCGTGAAGACACCGGAGAGCTGGAAAAGGTCTGTTGTGGGAAAGCGAAAAGGTAAGAAGTGACTCATCTTCAGAACGGCTCTTTGTGCTATTTATTTCCCTGGAAGCGAGGAGGTCTATGTGCTGTTGGAAGGTGTGCTGTCGATCATGACCCCTAGGTATTTAATGAAGGTGGCTCTTTCTAGTTGTTTACATGAGCAAGATAGGCTAGATAAACATGAGTGAGCATAAACAAGTGTGATTGACAAGTTTTTAAAGGAATTGGATGAAATGTGTTGTTTTGAAAACGTTAGATATTTTGTTTTGTCTACATTGAGTGTCAGTCCATTATTCCTCAGCCATAGTGACACTGCATTCAGTCCCATCCGGTCACAGTTATATGTATCTTCCCAATTGTCCCTGTGAAAAATCAGTGCAGTATCATCAGCGAAGGTAACTATTTTGCCGTTGCGTAGTTGGAGATTGCAGAGACCATTAATAAAGGTGAGAAAGAGAGTCGGTCCGAGGACGCTACCCTGAGGAACTCCAAACTCAATTGGCAAATCACCACTAACGACATCGCCAATCCTTACTCGTTGATACCTACCCGAGATATAACTTCCAAGTAATTTTAGTTGGGTGTTGCGAATGCCTAACATTTCAAGTTTATTGAGTAGGAGTGGGACAGAGACCGTGATAAATGCTTTTGCTAAGTCGAGAAATATTTATAAGACTTTTTTCTTAGAGTCCAATTTATGGACTAAATGATCTGTTAACTCATGTACAGCATCATCAGTCGAAAGACCGGATCTAAATCCAAATTGGGCTATTGATAGAAGGTTTTTAGACTCTAAATAGTTAATAAGGCGTTTATTTATAAGTTTTCCTATAGTTTTGGATGAGGTACCAAGTAACGAGATGGGGGGGGAGGACCAAGATATGTACATATCTTTTTAAGAAAGCTCCAGAGATGTTGGCCCTCCCTGCAGTATTTGTTTTTTGAAGATTCATTATTAAACTGGCAACTTCAGATTCATCAGTTTCTGTCAGAATAAAAGAGAATGGAGTGGAGTTCACGTAAAAGTGTTAGGTACGTTCTGATGTATGACGCCCTCCTCAAGATTTCTACCGATAGATGCAAAAAAGTTGTTAATGTTATCTACTGAAGTTAGTGGATTTGAAGAGGATAATAAGTCAGTTGCTGGGATATCTTTTTTGTTACCATTGGTTACCTTTTTATGGAGTCCCATAAAGTTTTATTGTTAGTTTTTAATGCCTTCATTAAAAGGTCTCTTTCGTGGTCTCTCTTAGTACCCTTTTTAGTAGCCAGTTGCCAAAATTCTATATCGTATATAGGTCGTTCTAATACTTTCATTTGAAGGGTTTCTTTTAGATTTAGAATGTAAGTTGTCTCGGTTTTTCATACACCTTAACAGTCCAGTTGTTATCCACGGTTTTTTAATACGTTTACGATTCGAGAGTTTGATAATCTGAGTATTCAATTCAATAGTAGCTACTTCAGGATCTACCGATTCGTAAATGCGGAAGCATATCATATCTTGGTCTAGACTAAGATAGTCGATCTTTATAGTAGTAAAATGTTTGTTCATTTGTGTATGTTTATTAAGTATAATAAATTTACAATCGTGGTCAGTTATTGAGGTTTGAGCAACACAGCAGAGGGTAGGTAATTTGCTTTTTAACATAATGTGATCTATGCAAGTTTTATTTTTGTGTGTTAAGAACTGGTGCGCTGGTAGAATGCCGTGTGTAGCTAGTAACTTTAGGTAGGATAATGAATCGGGGTTTTTACTGTTTGGTTGCATGTCCAAGTTTATATCGCCTATTAATATTATATTTAGTGAGTTTAGATTACCAAGAAGGGCATCGAGTGAGTCTAGAAACGGGTGGCGGTTTTGTATCTCGAAGGTCGATAGACTGAGATAATAGTTTAAATGAAGGTTTATTCAATCTATATGCGGACATTTATTTATTTATTTATTAAAGGTTCACCAACAACTGTTTACATCAATTCCTTAAATTAATACATGCCATTTAGAAATAACAATGCAACAGCCACTTATAGGTAAACACCGCTTATGCTTTAAAAATAGATAAAACTCAAAAGGTTGAATGCTTCAAAACAATAAATGAAAAAATCTCACAAAGGGAAAGTATAAATACAATATTTTAATTTTGAATTTTCATATAGGTAGTAGTAGGTAGGTAGTAGAGTAGGTACTCATATTCGAAATTTGTACAAATTATATATGGCGCCAAAAACTATCACAATTTCATGAAACAAAATACTATCTAAAATAAATAACAGAATTTTTAAATAAAATATCATGGCTTTCGAATACAAGTCATTTGAATTTTGAATTGCGTGCCTATCCACAGACAATTCAATCTGAAAATGCTGGTTTTAAAAATCTCCGACTTCATAGGTAAAGACCATTAGGCAAAAAACTACATCTAAAGAGGTTAATCTCTATTAGGGGTACGTGGCTACGGGCCTGACAATTTAAAATAAGATGATACAGAATCTCACGTTTTTGTAATTATTTTAATTATGTCTACTTTATTCTAGGGAAAATGGCAAAATAAATTCGATAAGGACCGTACTGAGGACCGTGATTTTCATGTGACTAAAGACAAGACTGTAACTGTAAAGATGATGAATAAACTCGCCGATTTCAAATACGGTGAAAGTCAAGAATTGGATGCCCAGGTAAAAGTTACTTCAATTCATTGATAAAAAAAACGCCTTTATATTATTAACTTATTAACATCTACAAACAAAATTGTTTATTTGATTACAGCTCGTAGAATTGCCGTATGAAGGAAATGATACATCCCTTGTTGTGATCCTCCCAAAAAAAGTTGATGGAATCGATGACCTCATTCAGAAACTCTCTGATTATGCAGCTTTAAATAAGGCGTTAGACAATATGTATGAACAAGAAGTAGATGTATCCCTCCCTAGATTTAAAATTGAGACTACAACAAATCTCAAGAAAGTATTAGAAAATGTAAGTGCATCTGTTAGGTAGTTATATACATATTTGTATTACGTGTAAAGTCATGTTTGGGTTTATCTGCATATGATGACTAGAGTCAGACTAATTTGCTTAATTTCCTCACCGGTAATTCAAATTGTCGTATATATTAATATACCGTTTTAGGTGTAAACAACAGGAATACTAACCTAAGATTCAAATATTTGGATAAGTTATTAATATATAAATATACATAGTTACTGGTCCACCTAGATACTTTAGAGGGTTGTAGTTGCCATCATTGCTGATAGATCACTTCACTACACGATTCACTACAAAATACCATATTCCAAACCTAACTACATATTTTCAAGATATTGGATTTTTAAGATTTTTTACAAAAGTCGCCTTAATTTTCCTTAAACATTATTTTTTAATTATTTGAATCCTCTAAGTTTTCTTTTTTCATGATTTTTGTATCGTTGATACAATGTTCTATAAATAAAATTGTAGTTATCTATCTAATATCTGTCAAAAAAATTGTAGTTAACTTAACAAACTAAACCGATGTAGATGGTTGATAATAGCAAAAAAACAGAAATGTTATTTCACGAGTATTACGAGTAGTATTAAGACTAATGTTGAAAAAAAATTGTATTAGGCAAAATTTTGGCAATTTTTATAAAATATCTTAAAAGTCCAGTATCTTGAAAATGGTTAGTTTTGGGATATGGTATTAATAGTGAAATCGATTAATAATAATAACCTCTGTAAGTATCTAGGTTGACTTAACCAGGAACAACTATGTTGACATACTAGTAGCTAAGAAATTAAGATCAGGTAGTTTTGAGCAAAATTATCTTAACAGTTTTATTATCGCATTAGACCAAGAGCTAGAGAAAATTCCCTAGTTATAAATATTCTATGATTTATAGAATATTTAACTTGTTGACCATTTATTGATGAGTAATTCAATATTACAGATGAACATTAAGAAGTTATTTACTCCTGGAGAAGCCCAATTATCCAATCTGTTGAAATCAGGAGACTTGTATGTATCTGATGCCGTTCAGAAAGCTTTTATTGAGGTCAATGAGGAAGGTGCGGAGGCAGCGGCCGCTAACAGTGAGTACATTTTGACTCGAAAATATCTTATTATCTAAAATAGTTTAATTGATCTCAGTACGATAAAAAATCTAAACACTTACAAGTTCTGAATAGGTGATATCATGTTTCGTACATTTTTATTTACTTTTATATAATATTGTTATTTAATGTAATAAATATTGTAATGTTAGTGAAATGTAATGCGAAAGTAAATTCTACTTTGTGCTGATATAAAAAAAATGTTTAACCGGATATCCAACTTTATCATATCCCTGAAGACTCATCATATATCATGTCTTTTATCCCCGAAGAAGACATAGGATTATTTTGCCGCGACAACAGTCTGCCTACTAATTTTACTCCCACTTACGTAATTTAGGAAAAACATATTGCCCCATCTAATCGCCTAATATGGTAAATAGAACGCAAAACGCATTTAAAACCGATTTACTCAGTTATTACAAAAAAATCATACAAATAAATATTTAAAAAAAAATGTAAAATACAAACTCAATATGGCCTCAGCCATTCAATTTATCCATTAGCGATAGATAGGCTGTCAGACTGACTACTTTAATGATATGGAAATTAAGTATTATTAAAATTTCACCTATTCGCTTCATATCGTTGCTTCCAATAAATATATAACCATATTATTTTCTGATCAGAAATGGCAGAAATTCATTATTTTTACTTTAGACTATTAAAATTCATATCTCAAGGCGTATTTGGTACATATAGTCCGTGTACTATTGTGTTAACTCGAAGACAAGACATTGTTTTATTATCACTTTAACAGACTTTGCGGTGGCTATGTCCCTTCCCCGTCGATTTAAAGCAGATCATCCGTTCCTGTCCTTCTTAAAAAAACAAAATAGTTTCCTTATTTAACGATGTTTTTAGATATTAGGTAGTATTCATGTGATTAAGAAGCTTAAAAGTGACATTTCCACAGACTTCATGACGAATATCTATGAATTCTGCTTTATTTTTAACTTGTGTCTTAATTGTAATACGGCTGTAGTTTTATTAAAACTCATGGCATAGGCTTTCTGGTTATCGCAAGCACGTAAACCAGCTTCAGATTTGCATAACAATGCTACTCAACATTTTATCAAAACTTAACCCCGTGTTACAAAAACACACAACGCGCCACCACATGATTGTTAAATAATCTACTCAATTAATGAAAATTTAACAGTATTTTTTCGCTGAATAATGTAATAATAATAAATTTAATAGATAAAATATAGTCCATTTTTGAACTCGTCGTGTAGGAACGTGTCGCTGAGGGTTGTGTAATTTAAAAGTTATAATTATTCTATTTCCAAATACTATTGCCCTCATGAAAGCCGCCAATTAATTTTACGTATGAAATTCGCGTTTACACTAACAATAATGTTATTCGAATACCCTGCATTGTCGACCCGCTACCCGATTTACGAGTCATAAAAGGTATTGGGCTTAAGAAAATAGTCTGTGGCTGAGGTCTGTGTGAGGTTAGTTGATAAAGTGCCTTATGTATAATAGGTATAAACTGCTTCTCCGCAGTTTGTACTATAACTGTTTCTATCGGTCTCAACGCTATGACTTCGGTAGGCTAGTAATTATCGGTATACGGTTTGATGATCCCAAAATTCGCTTTAAATTAAAACAAGCGTACGTTAGATAAATTGCAAGAATAAATTTTTAAAATTTCGGTTTCGGTCATTCTTTTCATTGCATGCTTTATAGTAAAAAAATGCAATGTTAAATGTACAAACAATTTAATATTTGTCTTGGTTTTACCTTTTGAAGTTATCCAACATGTTTTGTAAATACTCCAGATTCGATACGTTCTGTCTCCAACAAATAACTAACAGTAGAATCGTAACTGAAAAGTAACCGTAACCGCAAAGTCTGACAACATGTTGAACTGTAAGAAGGCCTGCGACTATGATGGCCTGTATCTCATACATAGTTTTTAAAGACGCGAGAAACGTCCTTCTCTATCCAAGCCTTGGTAGCGACACAAGATGTACTAACAAAACAAAAAGAAAACAATATCGGGCAATAAACAAACAAATAGATCTTAATAACTTTACCTACTTTGAAGGAAGACTACATATTATATGTATGTAGTTCCTTATAAAATTTATATCTGTTACTAATACGATTACATTCATCATTGTTTTAACTGAAGAAACTTTTGAAGTTCATGTCCGATTTTGTTCATCTATTCATCGTTTAAACAGGTGGTCAACAAACGGCTTTAACTCGAAAAAATTATTTCACTATTACAGGTTTCATTTTGTATGCGGAAAGTATTCAACAACCGCGTTCTTTCAATGCAAACCATCCCTTTCTGTTTTTCCTAATGGAGAAAAGAAACACTATATTTAATGGAGTGTTTAAAAATTAGGTACCTGGTAAATTATTGTAGTGTATTAGCCTGAAATATACTGCTTACATCATCCATATTTTAAGAGAGCATTTAGACTGTATCTTGCTGGAACTTACACATCTGAAAGGATGGGTTATTTTAACACTGCTGCATTTTGTTGTTGTTGCGTACGGGTAACTAATACTTATAATGTGCAATCATACTATAAATGAATCAAATAAATACTCCATAATTTTAAACAGGCCAACCAGAGCTGGTTTGCTTATGTTAAAATTATCTATTTTCTCTGTACTTCCAGGTTTTATTATGTTGGAAAGCTTGAGCATACCGTCTACTTTCAATGCAGATCATCCATTCGTGTTTTTCTTAATGGAGAAGAGAAATACTCTATTTAACGGAGTGTTTCAAAATTAGGTACCTAGTCAATGTGACCTTAATGTAGAAGAATAAATACTTCTATTAAGATTTATTACTAGCACGCTCGTCATTCGTACTATATTAACAAACCATCGGCACCGTCTCTTGAAATTGCTATTATTAAAACAAGCATGTTAATATTTAATATTTGCTTGGAATTGACAGATTAAAAGCTATAAAAATAACACATTTACAATATTAAATATATTTTTAAACAATTACATCCACTATTCTCATCGTCTACTATTTAGGATCACGATTTTCCCTATTTACAATTTCTTAACTGATCTGGTACGGAATTAATCTTTACTTCACTGAATTTTCTGAGGACGTTCGGATCAGGCGAGAATTTTTTATAGAAACTCTAATACTAATAGTTGTATCAAAGCGTCATGGTGACTGAGAAGTGATCCTACTTGTTAAGATTCCGGGTGCAACAATTCGTCTTAAATAACTTCAGACTAATAAACAGTAATACGGCTTAGTGATTTCTCCTGTCTTTCTCTGTTCGTTGATCATTGGATTGGATTCCCATTGGAAGTTTCCCAAAAACTAAGACACAGTTACGTAACTTAAAATGGTCAACTGCATTAATTTGTGAAAGTGAGTGTGGGGTTCAGGTGTAGAGGCTAGAAAATTTTATTTATTTATTTTACACTTCCTGCATTAAAACTTGCACGAGACGGACTTAATGCCACATGGTATTATCTACCAGTCAACCTTAAGATGGTTCAGTAAGGGGCATGGCAGGTGCACATGTACTATATAAAAAGAAGAAACTATGAAAATATAACATTAATTTGAAAATACTATTTAAAATACATAGATGAATACATAAATAACTATTAACATATATTATACGGAATACGGAATGAAGTAAATACAATAATGTCTGAGGGGACGAAATCATGAGGCTGTTTCTGCTAGCTGTTTCCTGTAGAATTCTCGGACTTTAGCTTTGAACGCGTCGCGCCTTCCTGACATCCATATCTCAAGTGGGAGCGCATTCCATAGTAGGATAGATTGGACAGCAAATGAAGAATGAACAAGAGAAGAAGTGTGTATTGGACACAAGAGTAAAAGATTATTAGTGGACCGAAGATCTCTGTCATGGTTGGAGCATAGTGGTTTAAGCTGTGAAGTAAGATAAGTAGGAGCTGTAGGATTATTAAGACGAGAATAAAGAGTAGCCCGCAAGCTACGGCGCTGACGTATAGGTAAGCTGGGATCGATAGGCAGACACATGGTCATACTTGCGGAGGTTGAAGATGAATCGAATGCAATTATTGAGAAGACGATCAAGTTTGTTGAGTAGATCTGCATTCAGGTCGAGGTAGCATACATCACCATAATCAATGATTGGAAAGATCAAAGCCTGTACAAGCATTAATTTGGTAGTATGTGGAAGGAAGTTCTTTAGCCGATACAGTGATCGCAAGGTTCCAGTGACTTAGAAAGTGAGGCTGGAGTCAATCCATAAGCCAAGATCTTTGACAAATGGCCTGATCGGTATGTCGGATCCGTTGTAAACGTTCGCCGGTAGTTTTAGGGCTACCTATGATTATGGACTGACACTTGGAGGTATTCACACTTGCACCAAACCGCTCAGAAAAGTTTTTTGATTACCTCCAAATCACTGTTAATGTTATCGACTGCTTCTGCTAAATTATCGAGGCTGGTATGTGAATAAATTTGGTCATCCGCATACAAATCATACGCACACTGAAGATGAAGAGTAATGAGATTGATAAACATCGAAAATAAGAGAGGTGATAAAATAATAATAATAATTAATAATAATAATTTATTTATTTCGTAAAATACAACCTTTTATATTGTAGTCCTGGACGTTCTAGCTAGGCTACTTGTATAGCCTGTGTTAAGAACAGTCCGTTGCTGAGTTCCATAAAATTAAGCAAAAGGTACATAGCACATAAAATTTTTAAATTACTTTGTATTACATTAATTGATGTGTTTGCTTGTGTGCACGTGTGAGTGTGTGAGAGTATGTGTGTGCGTGTGCGTGAAATGTCTGTGCATGTGTGTGAATCTATGGATTATCTACTTATTATAGGCTTTTTGAAGTCATCAGCTTCTCCGTTTCCATATAGTTTTTCTTAGAGATATATTGAGTAATTTGAGATTTTATTGAAGCATAGGAGGATTTATGTATCGGTAAGATTTGGTTAAATTTATTATACAGAAATGGTCCTAGGTAGAAAAAGAATCGTTTGGTGAAAGTGAAGTAAGTGTGAGGTGTAGTGTAGATTTTGATTCTGCGTTTAGGTATAGCGTCTTCATGTATGTGTGGAGCTTTTGTGTGCTGTTGGAGTATAGAGCTTAATATGAAAAGTTGTCGAACTGTAAGAACGTTGCAGTTTTGATATAACTCGAAAGTGGGATACCGTATTGGGCGAAAACTAGCAACTTTAAGTACGGCTCTCTGGGCTACCTCCAGTGGTTTTAAAAGCGTTTTAGCGGCACCACCCCAAACTGTGATACAGTAGCAAATAATTGACTGACACATAGCGTAATACACGGTACGAATGATGTGAGCATTGGCGATGTGTCGAAGGGTTTTAAAAATGTAGATGAGTTTTCGTACTCGATTTGCTAAGTGTATAATGTGTGTTTTAAAATTGAGATGCTTATCAAGTATGACACCCAGGTATTTGATAGTGTCGGTAGAAGTTATTGATGGACAGTTACAATTAGGTGAGTCCTTGTTGCAGGTGTGTGCTTGTAGTATAATTGGTGTCTTCGGTTGAGATGAGGAGTTAAGTGAGAATGTGATGAGTTTGGTTTTAGAGGTGTTCAGTGTAAGTGAGTGTGAGATGAGCCATTTATAGATGGTGTTGAATCCATTGAGGGCTGCAGTTTGTGTTTGTGACCATGTGTCACCATAGAAGGTAATGGCAGTGTCGTCAGCAAAGGAAATTATTTGTCCTGACAGTAAGGTGGTTTGACAAAGGTTATTAATGTAGACCAGGAATAAGGTAGGGCCTAATACGCTGCCCTGCGGGACTCCATATGAAATGGGCAGCTCATCACTTAAATATTTGTCAATTATCACTCTTTGTGAGCGGCCAGTGAGATAGGATTTAAAGAGTTGAAGCTGTGTATCTCTAACACCCATGTTTTCAAGTTTGGAAATAAGGCATGCGATAGGGACCGTATCAAACGCTTTTGCAAGATCAAGGAACACTGTAAGGACTTTTTTATGTTGGTTAAGTCTTTCAACTATTCCATTTACAAGTTCTAAAGCTGCAGAGGAAGTTGATTTCATTTTTCTAAAGCCGAACTGATTCCGGGACAGTAACGCATTAGACTCCAGATAATTAATAAGCCTTTTATTCATTAGACGTTCCATGACCTTGGAGAGTGCTGTTAGAATGGCAATTGGGCGGTAGTTATTGACATTAGTACGGTCACCAGCCTTGAAAATTGGATGAATGATTGCCTTTTTAAACGAAGATGGGAAAGTGCCGGAGGCAAAGCACAGATTGATAATATGGCATAGTATGGGTGTTAGGATTACGGAATATCTCTTCAAAAAAATTGTAGAAATGCCATCATGACCTACTGCGGCATTCGATTTTAGTGACATTATAGTAGAGGCAACTTCGTCAGGGTCCGTATCTAAAAGAACAAATGATTTTCGACATCCATTCTTTGAGGTCATTGGTGGGCTACTGAAGGTATTGGATTGTATAGTTTTTATGTGATCAGCAAGATCCTCTCCGATGTTCACAAAGAATTCATTAACCTCGTTAACAGATTGAGAGTAGGTTTTGGTAGAATTGAATAGCTCTGTTGGTGTTCGTGTAGTTTTTGTACTATGTATCACGCGTTTTACAGTATCCCATATTAATTTAGTATTGGTACCTGCTTTGGCTAACTCATCTGAATCAAATTGTCGTCTCACTTTTTTCAAGATTTTGTTACAATAATTCCTATATCTTGTATAGGTAGTTAGCAATACTGTGTTATCCGGCGACTGCCTACACTTTTTGTGCATTTTGTCCCTATTTCTCATGCATCTTAGTAACCCTGGGGTAATCCAGGGCTTTAAGATTCTTTTATGTTTTGAGATATGCTTTGCCGATGTATTTTGCTTAATTGTCTGGGAGAGTGTTTGAACAAGACAGTTTGTTGCGGAGTTGGGTTCTGACATAGTGAGTATGTGAGAGAGGTCAAGTCTTTCCATTGATTTGTCGAGAGAGACGTAGTTTGTTTTTATTATGGAAGTGACTGGATGATTGCACTGTGGCTTTAGGTGTAGAGAGAGGAGGGTCGCAAAGTGGTCAGTTACCGAAGACTCAAGAACAAAAACAGAAGATGGAGATCTGGTTCTCAGTATAGTATGGTCAAGACAGGTAGAGCCTCTAGTTGGTAGGGTATGAGTTGGCAGAAGTCCGTGGTAAGCGAGAGAATTCAGGTAATCATGGCTTCGATAGTCCATGTGGTTGTTTTGATCTGCATTGATGTTAATATTTATGTCGCCGGTTATAACAACTGTTTTGAATCTATTTAAGGAACATAATATTTCATTTAGCGAGTTCAGGAAAATTTGAATACAATCGTTAGAGGGAGATCTATAT